TAACAATTTAATATGGTCGTAGTAAATTCAAAAGGGTAACAATAACCAATGCGCTACTAGGACTACGGTATTGATCATTGTAGTTTGCACACGGCTGTTAGTAGGTTTTCTTGAGCAGGCAACCACTGCATAGTCTACATTAATCAATTGTGGAGTGCAGTGCATCAGCTCCTCTGGCTCATGTTGGTGTGCCCATCAAATCCTCCTTGAAATTTGTTTGGATGGGATACGAAATAATTGATTTTTTGTGGGTTCCTGACAGTTATGATCAGATCTAAAGCTGATCAGTACCTCTGACATCAATTAATGGTATTAAATGTACGCGTTAAAGGGGAACTACTTAGAAAATTTCAATGTTTCTTTTAGCGCTGAGCCTCCGATATTTGAAGTATAAATTAATGTATTTTTTTTTTATTAAATTATAGAAGAAGAATAATATTTGATTTTAATTTTAATAATTAATTAATTAAATTAAGATATTTGATATTAATATTAAAATTAAAATTAAAATTTTTTATTTTTAATATATATTAATAATTAAAATGTGTATTAACTATATCTTTAAAGTACAAATTAAAAAAATTCATTTAACATCTATTAATTTAAAATTAAGTTATATTAAATTTTATAAAAAAAATTTTAGTGTTTATTTTTTTATTTATAAGGTTTATATTTAAATTTTTATTTTGAAAAATTAAGCTCTTTCAATTTAAATTAAGAAGTCGTTGGTAAAAAAATTTAATCTTAAATTAAAATATTTTATTTAATAAATATTAATTTAATTTAATTTTTATTAATAAAACCTTTAAGAGTTGAGAACTCATAATCAACTATGACCATGAATGTTAAAATTATTAATAAGAATTAAATTTTTATCATAATTTAACCAATATATATAATTAATAATTAATCATTATTATTTATGGGTAATAAATTTAAATTAATTTATAAATAACTATTTTAAAATTTTATACTAACTATTTAAAAAATTTATTTAATTTTAGTAAATTTAATTTTTTATTTAATAAAATTAAAACATAATAATTTGTTAATAAAATTTTATATTTATTTTTAATTAATGAAATTAATGAAATTATAAATAAATCAATAATGTTTATAATTTAGAAGGCCCTCATAATCCGCGGATAGCTATGACTTGGAAGAAAGGATGATGGAAATGGGGGGTTCTGGTAGTTACAATTTGATTGCTGGATTCCAACGCCATAGCCTTATTAAACAAAGATATTAGCAGTATCAGCACATGCTGCTGCGGAAGGGCACATGCCATTTCTTGTGCTTCATGTTTCAGTACATTAATTAACATTAATTTAGCTGATTAAATAATGGAGTTGGTCAGTTCCAATTAGACCAGAGCTATTAATCTCATCAATCAAGGCTCACAATTACAGCACATATCATGTTCTTTTTGTTGTCTGTTCCTCACCAAGTCCAAGCCAGTCAATTAAAGGATACTTAATTGCAGTGCACTTGTCTTTCTTAAATAAAATTTAGAAAATCAAGATTTAAGTCAATAATTTATGTAATTTAGTAATCATTTTCTTTAACTAAAAATAAAAAATTTTAAATTTGAATTGCATGACATGCGGTAAAATTAGATAATTGATAAAAAATAATTAATTCTCATTATATAATTAAAATAAAAAAAATTTAAGATTTAAAGTATAACTAACATGATTAATTTATTGATGAATGGTAATCGTCTAAATCGAAGAAAATTTATTTTTAATATTATTATGGGTAACTAATATCTAGAGCAGGAATAATATTTTAAGTGTTCCAAAGCCAATAGAGGCCTCACTTCTTTCTTTATATAAACAATCCATTTAGTTGTTGAAGACCAGTTCACTTGTTGTCTTAGATAGTCAATAGTCATGGCTTACTTTCTGTTGATTCTATGCTTGAGCTCCGTGCTTTTGGCCTCTGAAACCATGGCTGCCGAACCAAAGAAGCCTATAGACGTGCCCTTCGGCAGGAATTATGTGCCAACGTGGGCTTTGGATCACATCAACTATATCAACGGTGGTTCTGAGATTCAGCTCAAACTAGACAAATACACAGGTATGTATAGATTGCATATCAATGCCCCTGTTTGTACATGACCACTTTTTACATGGAATCATTGGACTGCCCTCATTTTCTTGTTTGTATTATTAATTCTCAAGGGACTGGCTTTCAATCCAAGGGCTCTTACTTGTTCGGTCACTTCAGTATGCATATAAAGATGGTTCCAGGGGATTCTGCTGGCACTGTTACTGCCTTCTATGTAAACTACTTTAATACTTATTGCATCAATTTAGATTTCCTTTTTCTTCCTAGATTTCGTAAACAAACATTATATTTATATACTTGAGATGTTGCTATTGCAGCTTTCTTCCCAAAACTCAGAACATGATGAGATAGATTTTGAGTTCTTGGGGAACAGAACAGGCCAGCCTTACATTTTACAAACCAATGTGTTCACCGGAGGGAAGGGAGATCGAGAACAGAGAATATATCTCTGGTTTGACCCTACCAAAGATTATCACGCTTACTCTGTTCTGTGGAATATGTATCAGATTGTGTAAGTCTCCTCTCTAC